ATGACGGACCGCATTCCGCATTCCATTGCAACGCGTGCCTTTTGCTTTCATTTTTCTGGGAAAGACAAAAGCGGAAGTCAAATACAGTCAAACCTCCAGTTGCAACCACCTCTCGTAAGCGACCAGCCTTCCAAAATGCCAAACGTTTCAAAGTCAAATCACTATACTTGGAACCTCTTGTAAGCGACCAACTCTCGTAAGCGACCGCGACCACTTTTCGAGCTATTTAATAAAAATTTGAAATTTTCTTTTGTTTGTTTTTTTTGTCGTAAGCGATCACTTGACAGATAATAGAGCGGAAATTGGATAATAAGGTGTTCTAACATCATCGCATTCCTGGGCCGGCAAAAGAGACGGAAATTTCTTAAAGGGAAGAACCCGATTTTGTTCTCGAAATTGGCTTTTCACATGAATAAAACATTGCATCGGCATTGGCGCATGGGGCAAGTCTCTGCAGTCACCATATTCTAATGAGGCAAAATTTTTACCCAATATGGTCTAAACTCTCGTAAACGACCACCTCTCGTAAGCGACTACCTAGGCTTGACATCTTGTGTGGTCGCTTACAGGAGGTTACGTTCGACTGTATTCGACCTATTCGAATTTTTTTTACTGAGAAAATGGTTGCTGTTGAACAAGCATTCATCAAGCCATTTTACTTTTTAATACGCATTCTATTACACGACTTTCAAAATGTCTTTACACAGAACACGACGTTTTTGGTGTAATGCACTGGAAAATTTCCGGGAGAGACGGAGCTTCTGAAAACGTAATCCTGAGGATGTTTACCATTTCTTCAAAAAAATTAATCCCAAAATTCAGGAGATTTCGGTCAGAATGTAAATGGTGAAACAGTAATTTTGGCTCAACCTACAGGAAAATTACCGAAATAAACAGATGGTTTTGAACGGTAGTCCAAAATTTCCAACCGAAGTATCCGAATAGAAAATGCGCTTACCATTTCCAGTTCTTCACCAGTTCTAGCTGCCATCTTGGAATTCTGATCAGGTCGAACTCATCCTAGGCTCTCTCGGTAAACTGGGGGTTGTTGAGTAAATGGTGAAATGGCCAATCCGAATGGAACTTACTTTGCTTACCATTTGCACAAACTATTGAGGAACCGGTTTCTCCGCGTGAATGGTAAACAACCACAGAGTAATTTTCCGGAAAATCCATTCGAAAAATATGGATTACAGGCGCTTTCCATTCAAACAAAAATTCCGGAACTATCGAATCAGAGACAAATGGAACGAAAATTTTCTGGGAAAGTTTCCGGAAAAACCAAAAATTGTTGAAATTATGAAATACACACCATTCAAACTAAATCTTTCGCGTCTAACTTTCGCGGCAATTCGTGGTTTCTGATTTTCTGTAGATCGGTAATTGTAAGACTGTCAAAGAGGCCGATCATAGGGTATGCAAGGTTTTGAAATAACTATGTTTCAAATTAGAGAGTTTTACTAGACGTGAGAATTGGGAACTTATTTATCATGCAATTTGAGTGCGTTTGTATCCCGAATTCAACACTTTCGTATTCTTGCAATGCATTATGGGTAACTGTACTGTTGTAACATGGAATGCACCTTCCCGCCGAATTAACACATTTTATAAGTCTACATTCACACTTTCATAGGCCCGGTGCTTACTCCCCAAAATTCCTTTTTGTGCCCATGAACTGACCTGCTTTTAGACCATCCTCGGAGACCCAGGGGCAGTTAGTGGGGGCGGAGAAAAGTCTAATCTTCGCTCGAATTTTTTTCTCGCCCGTTTAGAGTTTTCCCCGCCCCCACTAACTGCCCCTGGGTCTCCGAGGATGCTTTTAGAACTGCTCTGTTTTGGCCTGATACAGTCGGAAACCAAGTTTAGATCTATTAGCGCTTAACAGCACTCTTGGAACCGTGAACTGCCGCAAAAATTCAGTTCTTCTAATGCTGCACTTGTGTCAAGTTGCCGATCACCAGGCTTAAATGAGTGTCCTTTGACCACCAAAACATAGCTATTTAGAAGACATTCTGCCACTGGCACGTTAACACGCATTCGATACTTGGCACTTAGCGCAATCGAACTTGTTCAATCGAAATACCGACATCGAGGTTACCAAGCCATGTGACTATTTCTCAGGCCTATATGCTACTCGCTCTTAATTAAGTCCACTACTTCCGTTTTTCAGTGAAAACGGGAACTTTTCACTTTTACAGAGCAAATGCACGGAATAGAACTCGTTCAAATTGTTTTATTCTATTGTATAAAGACTTAAAAATGTGTCCAATCAGAGATGTACTAGTCCGCAAGACAGCTCGAATTTGTTACTTATTGCGTTTAATTTTTTGTTTCTGTTAAATACAGTTTTCCTACGAACCAAAAATAATTTTACACATACAAATGATGAAAACAACCTTCCCAGTGCTTTTGTTTTTGTAGAGTCTATAAGAGAAACATTTCCGTCTCACCTTCTCATCCAGGCAGTTCGTCTCTTTTTCGCATGGAAAGTACAAAGACATACTGCGACTTCTCAGGTTTTCACCAACAGTTTTATATCAAAACTTATATGATAAATAATTCTTACATATTATAATGTCTTGGGTAATTTCCTGTGATTTGGAATTATGCTGCAGATGTTGACATTTCAAGCGCTTCCTCGTAACTTGGTGGCGGAGTTTCGGGAACATTTTCTGTCCAATCGTCCGCGTCCACAGATAAATAAACTTCATCGGGATTTTGAACAACAGTAAAATAATCAGGCAATGAATCAGTCGAAGAAGTTTCAATAAACGGTAGACGATGAGGAACGTGAACAAAAGGAAGAATAGGAGCGGCGGATTTTTCCAAATCTTCTGCGGGAATCAAAGAGACGACGACTTGAGGAGTTGTGTTGATACGTCTTCGTTTGTAACACAACATCACTGGTCTTAGTAATAATATCAGAAGTCCAGCAGCAAACACTACTGCAGCCACAATCCCTGGAAGCCTAAAGTACGAACGGCAGGAAACACAGTCTGCAGAAGATGTAAACAAAGAAAACACGACCCCCAGAATAGCCGTACTCACTGCGATGCAGACTAATGCAAAGGCTACAACTGAAAATAACAACCTTCTCCGACACGCATTTTCGGACATTATTGAGGTAGCTTTAGATCCGTGAGTACAGGTTCAAAGTGAGGATATTTTAGGCCACAGCTCAATGATTTGGTCCGTGTTTCTTTAGTTGTTTGATGCACGTGTTTTTCACCTGAGGTCGTACTTGTTCAGTCTCGTGCAGAGCCATTATTTCGTCACGCAACGGTCCTCTCCTACTGGAGAAACGTTGCGCGACCACCGAAATAGCGGCTTCGTTGGAGACTGATCCCAGTCATGCGTGAAAATATGGTATGTTCGGTAAAAAACGTCCCCAGAGGGCACAGTCATACTAATATAAAGTACCATTGTACCACAGTTTCTTTGTGGGCTCATATCATACATAGTGCACGAGTCACACTAAGTGTCTAAGTCAGCACGAAATCTTGTGACTTGGAAATTTGAATACTAGGAGTAGACGCTCTTCTGCCTCGTCACGCAATCTTTCCACTTCGGCGAATAAAAATTGGCTGCAAACTGAACTGGTGAAACTTAGCCATCGCTCACCTGTTTGGCACGTCGGAAGTCCGACGTCTTACTATTAAATGTTTCTGAAGACAGTTCAAAGACAAAGATTTTCCGAAGATTTCCAAAGAGGCTGCGGAAACGTGGGAAGGAATTAAATATCGATGAATTCAGAGCAAATCCGAAGATCGGTACTACTCGAAAAATCGTCAACACTGCACTACAAAACCTTGATTTATTTGACTTATTTTGCACTCGCAATGAGTCCTAAGAAAGACTATTTATAGAGCGTATGCACGTGACGTCATCAAATTCTAAAATCCAAACCCAAAGAAACACCAAACTGTTTATACTTATCAGGCATAAGAGGTGCTAAATTTATATCTGTGTACAACTTTTCAGCTCAACAGAGTCCTTCGTTTGGAAACCAACGTATTTTGAATTTCAGAGTTATGGTGGTGCGTGACATAAAGTTACGATCATGTTTGTCGAAAAACACATACTTATCTCGCGAGTTTTAGCCATTTGAGAAGTTTAAGTATTAGGAAAAGTGTTTATATAAATATTTGTTTGTTCAGTAAAGGTAATCAGTCGCCTAGATAACCAAAGTAAATTCTAGATGATTACACTATTTTCCGGCCGCCATATTGATGTTCCACTGAGGTACACCGCAGAAGTGTATTCTTTATTTATGCTCTATAATATCGCAGTTTCTTGACTCTGGCCACTAAAGAGTTTTCGATTATTATTATTATTATTTTTTGCATACGCTGTATTGGTTTTCTTTTTTTATTCAGATAAAACCCCCTTGCTCAGTCAATTCCTAGCCCAGATTAAGTCCAGCCCCGAGCTGTCGTCCATGTTTGATTCCATTCAGAGAGATGCCGAATTCGCAAAGTCCATGGGCACTTCTTCGATATTCTCAGCTTGTTAAACTATAAAAAAACCGTAAAAATAACAAAAACGTTATTCCTCTATAGGGAAATACAAAACAGTAACAAATGGTGTAATCTTTTCAAAGGAGTCGTAATTCTTTTCGCGACGAAAAAGATCCGGCTTTTGAAGACGGTGTTGTAATTTGCCTGATGAGACTTGTGCCATTTGAAAGAGCTATGTCACGCTATGTCACATAAGGAAATAGTTTTTGGGATGATAGAAAACTTCAAAATAATAGCCAACAAACTTTAAAGTAGGAAAATATCAGNTGCTAAATTTATATCTGTGTACAACTTTTCAGCTCAACAGAGTCCTTCGTTTGGAAACCAACGCATTTTGAATTTCAGAGTTACGGCGGTGCGTGACATTAAGTTACGATCATGCTTGTCGAAAAACACATACTTGTCTCGCGAGTTTTAGCCATTTGAGAAGTTTAAGTATTAGGAAAAGTGTTTATATAAATATTTGTTTGTTCAGTAAAGGTAATCAGTCGCAGTAATCAGTTGTTTTTTTTTTGCATACGCTCTATTGGTTTTCTTTTTTTATTCAGATAAAAGCCTCTTGCTCAGTAAATACCTAGCCCAGATTAAGTCCAGCCCCGAGCTGTCGCCCATGTTGGATTCCATTCCGCTGGAGAGATGCCGAATTCGCAAAGTCCATGGGCACTACTTGAATATTCTCAGCTTGTTAAACTATAAAAAATGCCGAAAAAAAATAACAAAAACGTTACTCCCCTATAGGGAATTATAAAACAGTAACAAATGGAGTAACCTTTTCAAAGGAGTCGTAATTCTTTTCGCGACGAAAAAGATACGGCTTTTGAAGACTGTGTTGTAATTTGCCTGATGAGACTTGTGCCATTTGAAAGAGCTATGTCACGCTATGTCACATGAAGAAATAGTTTTTGCGATGATAGAAAACTTCAGAATAATACCCAACAAACTTTAAAAGTAGTAATGGACGCTCATATGTGCGGTAACCAATCAGGAGCCGAGAAAGACAATAGGCTAT